CCCCAAAACCCCAAAACCCCAAAACCCCAAAACCCCAAAACCCCAAATTTCTAAAATTTTATTGAATCCCAAAATGTCATCTCCGCACCACCCCTACACCACCCCACTCCCTCACTCCCCTCCTTCCATCCCCACCGACCTCCCTCTGTACCCCCTTTCCCTCTCCTTCCCCCCTTTCCTTCCTTCTCTTCTAACTTTCCTCTAGAGGTTACAGTAACGGCAGGAATAAAATGGAATAGAATTGGAAGAGGGATTAGGAAGGCAGGCAAGGAAACAGGTGAGTGGGGGTTGGGGGTTGGGGTGTGAGGGGTTTTGAGGGGTTGGGGTGTGAGGGGTAATCTTGGGCGTTATGATGGTGGTAGAGGGGTTTTGGGGATTAAGTTTTAGATGTGATTAGTAGATTTTAGGATTGGTATATTGGGAGTTAGACATATGAAGAGAGGTTAAGAGGTTTTTAATAGTTTATTTCTTATTTTTAATTGTGATATTTGAAATATAATTTTACTTGTTAGATTGAAAAATTTTCTTATTTAGTTTACTTATATCCCAAATAGACTTGATTGACAGCATAATTAATCTGAAAAGCATACATAGAAGAAATAAAGAAGAGAATAAAGATTTAGGAGCTCCAAGCAAGACTCCTAAAACTAGTAAAAAAATTAATAAGTACTCTTTGAGCAAATCTGTGTGCAAATTTGATAAGTGTAAGTCGTTTGGGAGAAAGCCTAATCTATCCTTTAATCCTGAACTGAGCTTAAATAAGCTCAATAAATTTCAGATATTATTTTTATTTATTTTTAGTAAGAATGATCAAGATTTTCTTATAGCTTCACCTCAAATTGAGGGATTCAAAAGAAAAAGATTAAACCACACCAAACTAGGCCATCGCTCATCTATTTCAAAGTCTATCTACGATCATTTGTATAATAAGGACAGATTTAAATAAAATGATGAAGGATCATTTTCTTGCTGAAAACAAGGTAACAATTGTATTTGATTATTGAAAATTAAGGTTTCTTCCATCAGCTAATCTAAAATTATGTCAGTATCTTTATATCCAAAGTCTCTGAGATCTCTTCATTTAATTTTTATTTTTGACAAATTTTAATTTTAATTCCCCCCAAACTTCTCTCCTCACATAATTCTTCTCTAGAAAAATTCTAAATAAAGACTACATCAGCCCATCCCTCCGAGTAACCTCTCCTCTCACCCCTAGACCAAAATCCCCACTGACCTCTGCAAACGCCTCTGGCAACGTCTCCAAAAGTCCAAAGAAACCCGCTCTTACTCAACCTCCAAACACCCCACCCCCTCCACCTACTCTACTGCCCTTAAGCACAACCAAAAACCCCACACCAGCAGAAACACCCACAGCATAATCTCCTTCCACTCAAACTCCCTGTACAAGTACCAAAAATCCCACTACTCCAAAGCCTGCACTCACAAGTCATCTTCTCAGCTGCCTTACCTGGCTCAGCCAGGTAAGGCCTCTGGAGAAAATTACAGGTACAAGCGGGCTGAGAGTAACAGATCTTTTGGACAGAAGAACAGGGGGAATGGAGTAAGGGTTTATAGTAGGATTTTTATAGGGGATGAAGGAAGAGAAGTTGAAGAGGATGATGAAAGATGTTAGTGAGAGTAGGAAGAGGTTTGCAATAGAAGGGGTTTGGAAAAGATTTGCATAGGGTCTGAGGAATAAGATTGAGAGGTATGTTGGGAATAAGTAGCTCAAAGAGTGCATTTTTAAGAGTTTCAATATAGAATTAAGGGTGGGGTTTTGGGGTTTTGGGGTTTTGGGG